GAGACGTGTGACAATGACGCTCGTATTGACATAAAGGCAGATGCAAGGGCAACACTGGAGCTAATTGTGCCGTGCTGGATGCTCTGAGGTTTGTGTCTTCATTAGCATGGAGGCTGCAAGCAAGCTGGAAGGTGCTTGGATTTTCAGTCCATTACATTAAAGCGGATTTCAGTTCAGCAGCTCTGAACATAAGGACTGGGGACTGGGTGTGTATGGTAGAATAATCTACCAGGTTCCTATGCTCCCCTGTTCTGCAACCTACAAAAAGCATCTTCCTAGCCAAGGAGAAGAGGCAGAGAAGACTCATCTGCTTCCATGAAAGCCCTCCCTTCCCGAGTGTTTTTGCTCAAAGACACGCAGTTACTCTCATTACTCACTGCTATATGGTTGTTTTATGCCCTCAGGCCTGTCAGTGTGGGAAAACTGCCCAGAAAATGAACAGCCTGATATACTATTTTGGAAAAGATGACACAAGAGCTCCCTGCTGGATCACTCAAGATGGTTCCCTGCAGTTATTTCTCACCAGTATTTCCATCTTTGTTCTGCGAACAAGAATCAATGGGAAAAAACCCTACCTGTTCCAACACTGCTGTGAAGCTGGTGGGTAGACAATGGCGTTTTTGCACCTGTGGGGACAGGTACATGGTGCTTGCCTGGACTTCACGGGAGCCTGAGATGGCAGAATTCCCTTGCAAAAAAGGACGGATCCCAAAATCCGGGCGGGCTGATAACAGGCGGCTGCAGGTGCTCCTGGCTGCCCTAGGGATGCTGGGGTCCCGAAAGCAAAGCGAGGGTGATTTGCTCTGTTTTCCTTGCCCTGACAGAAAATGCAAAAAGGCATCCAGCATGAACCCAGGTTCGAGGGTTTGCATCCTCACTGATACTTGTTTTGCCAGGAAAAGGGCAAATGGTGATGTTTTGGTCCGGGCTAGACAGCCTAGCACACGCAGGGCAGGTGTCCAGCACTGGAGAACACACAGACTGACGAGAGGTGCTCAGGGTTTGCATGAAGCAGACTGAGACCCTCGCCCCGACTAACGGGGCCCTTTCTGGGCAGAAACAAATCACCCACCTCGAATGCTGCACGGCCCGAGGGCCTCAGGGCTGCTCCCAGGACCTTTATGAAACACAAGCAAGTTGTGCCTGACTGCTCGCTGCATAAATACAAGCAGCAGTTGTGGCTGAGACCTTAAGGCACGGGAATGGACTATTTTGACATTAATCTTTTATTAAAACATGGAACCAGTCCAGCATCAATAAACAATGAATGGTAGGTGGAACTATGATAGTATCATCTGTCTAAAACATCTTAGGTATGTGGTAATTTGACTAAAGCAACAAAACTTCCCTTAAAATCTTTTAATACCATTTTTAAAATGCTCTATGCACTGAAATGTCCAGCTAGAGGATTATTCTAACTGTCCCTACCTGTCACTTTTCATTAGCCCTTCTGAAACACGGCAATATTTAAGGGGTTCTCAAGAAGCAATGTCTGTCCTTGCTGCCTCTCCCGAGAAGCCAGGCTGGACTGGATGGGTCCATGGTGCTGTACAACACATGGAAAAACGATAAAGAGGAATTAAAGGATGAAAACCAGAATAGAACCTTGCTCCTTGGCAGCAGGCTTCAGCGGCGTCCGCAACAACCAGATCAGCCATGACAAGGACATGAGACAGGCAGGCAGGAGAGACAAAAGGACGGAATGAGGAATAACAGAACAGTGAAGAAAAGGAGAAAAGCTGTTTAAATTCTGTGACAGAACAATCTTTCATAGCAAAGCGCTCAGCTCCTATGGTGGAGTCACAGAAGAGTGACATGGTACATAATGCACAACCGCATATTTGATGGCAGTTTTAAATATAACGACTGCATTTTGGTGCTCACGAGGGTGTGAGCGCAGGGTAAGAGGTGCAGTAGGTGCTTGGGGCTGCATTCGCCCAAGCCCGGAGGCGGTTTGCGGTAGCGGCCGGGGCAGGACTGATTCCGCCTGCGCTCGCTCGCAGGAACACACGGCGGATGGTCGGTACGTTCAGTTGCCTTCCATCAGCTCAATTTGTTTTTCCATTTGGCAGTGGGATTTACCTAATTTGACGCTTCTCTTTGCTAAATACACAGCACTGTAAACTCGACCATTCTGTGATATTGTCTAAGCAGAGCAGTTGGGGTATCAAAGTCGTAAAGAGTTATCCACTAATTGCATTAAAGCCTGGAGACCCAAGCATGTGGCACTTTAAACTAGCCCTTACAGGAAAAGAGGGTCCTCTCACCAAAAGCAGAGCAAAGTGCAGCACTCACGAGCCCCCCGTGCCCTACTTGCTTCTCCCCCTGCCCAACAACGCTCAGGAACTTCCCACACGAGCTGCTCCTCACATTATTTTTCTTCTATAAATTGCACGTTGCTTCGATCCCTGTTTCCAGACCTCTGCAGTGTTGCACGGGGTGCAGAACACTTTCCACCTCGCGCACCTTCAGTCCGGACAGCCGCAGGGTGCGACGCGCTCCGGATGGATCCCAACCCTCCGGCGACGCTCCGAGACGCTCCCGCGGCCGCAGGGCTGTCCCACGCGGCCGGAGGGAGGTCTGAGAGGCTCCGACGTGCCCGTGATGAACAAGCGTTTCACAAACCCCACGTGCTGCTAAGGTTCTTAATGGAGAATCAGGTGGTTTGACCAAAAATTGAACAAAACCCGGGGCAATAGGAAGGGTCTTGGCGCGGGAGGTCGGGCTGTGTGTTCGACTGCGGGCCCTGGCTGGCCGGGCTGGCCTCGCTGCGAGCCCATGGCCCGTGCTGGGGGCAGCAGGGACGGCCCTGCTCGTCACAAACCTCTCTGGATCCCGGGACACCGTCCTGGCTCCGCCACGCTGCTGCCAGGCCTCAGCACGGAGCCGGCTCCAGCGAAACGCCGCGTCGACAAGGGGAAAAAGGCACTAAACAAAGAGGTCAGGCCATATAACCTGCAGCCCAGCGCAGCCACCAAGACCTTGACTGAGCTACCCAGTCGTCTTTTTAATCTTTATGTTTTACTTTAATAATGGAAAAAAAACCCTCTCCTGTTTGTCCCTGCAGTAAGGAACTATTTTTAACACCTCTAACGAATGACTAGAACATGGGGTGGAGCAGCCAAGCCGGTCGGGCAGCTCCCAGCCACCCACAAGGGTTATCTGACCATCGGGGCAAGAGCAG